CGAAAATGTCCTACCACAAGCGCGCTGCTGCCAAGTGTGGAAGAAGTACGCAACCACGCCCACTCCATCTCCAGGATATAGACTGTATGTGTTTCTCGAGGACCGTACACTAGACAGTAGAGTCGGAAGCTGGAAATGGGAGGTCTCCGCTGATTTTTCCTTTTTACATTCGTCTCTCGTTTGATTTGCTCGCTTTTATCAGTAGGCACGGACGAAGAGCGTATGGGCGGGGTATCCGCTTGGCCAAGCTGGGCCAAGCGATGCTCCCGCGGCCCGGTTGGGTGTCTCACTAAGGGCACAGCATCCCTGTGAGAAGCACAAGTGAGGAGATCGTAATTAACCCGCTGAGGCGGGGGGGGGGGTGTGATTGCTCCCAAATTTTTTTTCGGTAGTTGATTTCTCCGTTTAGGCGCTCATCGTTTGCAATTTTGGAGAGATGGGCGGAGGCGTATTTTTGTCGGTTGAGGGACAGTGGTAAAAGTCGTGAGGAGAAAAATGTCGTCCGTGAGGTTTTTCTCTTTACGCGTTATGCCCTCTTCCGCCTCTGAGGAAATTGCAATCACTCTTTCTTTTAGTGGTTTGGGGTGGCTGTTCCGGGAGAAACTCCCTTCTTTCCCTCTATGAATGTGAGTTAGAATTGAAAATATGTTGTGAAGGGGTCGTGGGGAAGGAGAACTTTCGTGGTGAGTCTGTAAAAATTTTCCACAGCTTGGTGCTGTGTCCTGCTGTAGCTTCAGATTACCGGCCGAAGCGTACATTGAGGGCGATCCCTGACCGGGTTGTATTTGGTCGCCGGGCGATGGGGTCGTACCCCAGGTAACGCTTCTTTTTCATGTGCACAATACGCCCTCTACTTGGCAGAGCGGTGTTTTACAATTTTCTGGTGGTTCCCCCCCCACCCTGCTCCCCTCCTCCTCCTCCTCATTCCCTCAACTGCTCGGTGGATGCTGAGGATGATGGTAGAGAATATAAGAGGGTCGCAATGAGGAGGAAACTTCACTCTCGGCGAGGCCTGCCCCATAACAGCACCCCTCCCCAGCGACAATGGTACATGATTCCAGAATGTACATTGATTTCGTGCGCTATCGGATTGTTTTACACTTATCACATGCACGTGCAGAAGCACCAAAGAGTGAAAGAAGTTTTGGGCCAAAGAGGTACAAAAACGGTGTTGTTATCGGATGAACATAATAACGTTCTGGTTAGGTTATAGAGGCTTAGAGACAGCTGTCGAGATGCTAATCCTGTACTGCAAGTTTTTTATAAGGCGAAATATCTCATGAGATTTCGGCCAGTTGTTCAGTGTAAATCGGGTGTCAAGTAGTTTTAGAATGGAGTAACAGTTGTGCATTTAGCTATGGCTAAGTTGGCTCAGGTATCTGCGGGATGTGCTCTGCCCTCTATTTGACACTCTTGCTCCCATAGTAATCTCCATACGTAATCCTGCGGTCTGACCACTTCCGCTCCTGGGCCAACAGTAGGTAATGGAATATTAAAAAAGCTGTTGGTAACCGTTCTTCCCGCAACTTCGTGTTCGTGCTGACCCGAACACGTTCCTTTAGACCTTCTGATGCAGCCTTTTGGTCCATATAATAACCAGGGTTTGAAATGAACTTTCTCTCAGTTTCTTGGGTACTGTGGGTGAGCCTCTTTGGTCCATAATATGAGAAATACGAAGGAATGAGCTCTCCTGTCTTCTTATGGGTGAACAACTTAGATTTACTTTTATGAAATGCCAAGAAAATAAGAATTTCATGAAAAATAATTTCTCTTATAGCCTCTCTATGTCTCCTTGTAATGGAACTTATTTCTTACCTTTCAGTAAGTGTAACTTGGACTGAGTGAGTATCCAACGAGAGCCTTAAATGCTTTAGAACACTCTCATCTGCTGCAGTTTTCAATGTTCGGTCCCTTTCTGATTTTCTTTTCGCTTACACTACTCGACTCAAATTTGTATGTCCAGATTTTTGAGCTTATTTCCTTGTTCTCATTTTTATCTCTCCTCTGGCCCCTATGCTAGCATTTTGACGAACTAGACAATGATAAAAATGAAGGAAGTCTAATTGGAGCTCTTACAAAGCCCTTAACTTCCCATTCATCCCTCCTCCAGTGGATCCCATTACTTCTACCTCTCGGGTTCTCAATTCTTCGAAGAGTAAAGAAAGGTCTGATAACAAAATGTGTTATCAGCCACGTTATCAATCCAAAGAGTCATGTACCCTGTGAACTTTGAGGCGATCACTTTGTTCTAGTTCTGCCTTAAAAACACCCCAGTTTTCACCGCTTTCAGTGACAGAGTAAATGTGGCTTATTTTCAAGGAAAACTTGCAAAGCTATACCAGCGTAGGGACATACTGGAGATGGGTTAAAACTGGGCTAAGAAGTTTCTGGCATCCACTTGATTTCCTCTTTAAGTGCTTTGCCCCTTTCCTTGAAGTTCACTTGTCGGAACTGCATACATGAGTCGTTCAGGCAAGTAAACTTCAAGGAATTTATATCGTAGTTTCCACTTTGAAGTGTCCAGAAGTGGTACCGTGTGGCAGACGGGGCAGCGACTCTTGAAAAGACATCTTTTTGCTGGCCGTTTTACGTGTTTGTCGATGAGGTAAAGTGAAAAGGAATGGCACAAAGTGTTATGAAATCCCGATAGCGCTTATGTAAATAAAATATGAGCGTGGTTGGTGGTTTGTTGAGGCGTGTTGGCTAGCAAAATAATGTGGCAGTACTTTGAGGGACCACCTGTACTGTTGGTTGCTGATAAAAGTTCTTTCAATGCCATATGACTATCAAAAGTTTGGCCCCATGACACATAAGTGACATTATGGACTCCGCGATAGCATTTTCCTTACATCTATGGATAATCGATATTTTTTGGTTTTTCGGAGATTTCTGATTTTCTGGGGCTATATGTGGTGGTAGGTTGGTTACTACATCAAGGTATTTGTACGTGATGTGAAATCCATAAATATTCCACAACCTTGGCAGGGTTTGTGGAATATTTATGGATTTCGTGGATTGCGGAGAATTTTTGTTCAACTTTTTGGGGTCTTGACCGTTTTTGAAATGGTTTCTTTGTAGAATATTTGCGATAGCAGCCGTTTATTTGGTGAGGTGTCGCAATATGGGTCTGTCTGTGGTGGAATGCGGGTGTCCCGCTAAGTTCTGTTGGAGTACCAGAACAGTTTCCTTTTTTTGAGTGTTTCTTTAGTGGTGATTACTTGTTACCTTTTTTACCTAGGTACAGGCCACTACTACCTGAAGTGAAGCAATTGAAATGTGGCTACTCATATGATAGATAAGTGTAGTTCAGTTTGATAACATCATTTTCTCGCCAGATTCTCGCCATTTACGACGAGCAGTCGCCAAACGGCAGCGACGCCACGGACGGTTGTACGGTGACGACACCACGGGGTCCAGTGGTGGGACGTGTTCGTGACAGCGTCGTGGAAATTGTCAGCTTGGACAATCCGCCCAGTAGGTTCACTCATTTAGAAGGTTCTGCAATTTATTTTCGCTTTCTTTTTGCTGTTGGCACTTTTGTCGAGTTGCTGGGATCTTCGAGATTCAGTATTGCTACTTTGTCAGTTGCTGGTTCTCTCCGAAATGTTTTCGAGACTAGAACTTTATGCAAAATGTTCTCATAATGTTGCTAGTAAGTCGGGAGAGATATGCTAATTATTCGCTGTGGCATGAAAAGTAGCTGAGTGGGAATTAATGGTTACCCTGGAGGATACCAACTGTCGGGTAGGAATGGACACTCCTGACCTTCCATTCCAGTTCTCTCTGTAAGACCTTTGCGGGAGTGCTGAGGTGAATGGCAGGACAGATGAAAATCCTCATGCATGGTCGTTTATGTTAAAAACGACTGCCTGTTATGTTAAGGACCTGATGGAACGCTAGGACTCTGTTCTTTGTAACATGGCGTAGACTACGAAGCTCTGGGCGTTGATTCATCCCATTCTGTATTTGATTTCGTTCCCAAACAGCTGTGCTGTGCTCGAGTTATATTCGGTCTCCAAGGGCACTTTCTACCGACGGGGAAAATTTTCGGAAAAAACGACCGCGCTAAATTTCATCCGTGGCACGCCCTCCTTCCATCCTACTTACCATCTAGATAAGCGAAATTTCGGGGAAAACCGGAAATTTTCGAAAAAAGTGGTAGGAAGTTGGGAAAAGAGAGAGGGTGGAAGGGAGGGATGCACAGCACATATGAAACGGGAAAAACCGCGAAGTCAACAACCGTAAGATTTTTTCCGCAACTCGAACAAGTTCTCTCTGTGGTAGGTACATCCTCCCTTTCATAACAATAGGCGAGTACCCCCCAAAAGGATTCTTCCCAACGATGTAGGTAAAGCGCAAGAAATAGGACAATCTTTCAGGAAATTTCTTCTTGCTA